AAACTCTGTTTATAATTAGAATAACTGAGCAAACATCCAGTCTGCTGTATCAGGTGCTTTACATGTTTTACCAAAGTCTTTAATCTGAAGTCAGGGGGTTTATTTTCCTGTGACGAAGTGCTGCCATCAGTTACATGTAGCAGAAGCCTGCAGTACACCAGAACACTTTAAATACTACCAACCTGAGAGCTTTCATTCAGGCCGACATCTGTCCAAGCTTCTCTAGGGCTGAGGGATTACAGGATTTATTATAAAATAGCTCATTATAAGGGGGTGGCGGTGGCACCAAGTATCATAAATCGAATAGATCTGGTATATCACTGAGCCATAAGCAGCCAATCGGTGGCCAGTAAACCTTGGGATTGAGCTGATATCGGCGAACACATATCAGGCTGAGTATTTATTATGCATAGAAAATCAGGAGCTGAACATAACTCCTCCAAACAGTCTTAATGATAGAAATATTTATTTTAATGATGCCGTGATTAAGCTTTATTTGTAACAGTCCAGGTTTTAACACCCTTCTAGACGTGTTTACATTCTGTAGACCAGATCAGTTCAGCGGCCCGTTTTCTGAAACTGAGGTTCTTAAACTTTTCATCTTGTGATCCACAAAAAGGTTTGAGAGTCGATCATGAACTAAACTGTTGGCTAAAGCCTGGTTTATGCTCAGAAATAGAGGTGTAAAACACATCCATCATGGCGATTCGATTCAGTATCGATTTCCTAACCCAACAATTCGATTATTTTCGATACTCAAGAATACACCACGATACGATTCGATTAATTTTTGTTTTTTTTTGAACACCTTACAGTCTAGACAATGTTTCAAATTGGAAATAAATCAATAATAATAATAATAAATCAAGAAATAAATCATGGAATGCTGTAATATGGTTATGCATTTTTCTTTTGAGAAACAACAGCAAATAACAGAAGTAGAAAAGTTGCATCAAAAAATACTGCACAAAATCAGTGCAATTCAATACCTCTGCTCCAGACGTCCCCCCCCCCTCCACAGACGCTCCCCTGCTCCTCTCCCAAATTGTAGCTGACAGCAGACAGTGCTGCAGGCAGGAGGCCGGCTTGTTTTGTTTTATGACCGAAATTGCGGAAAACAACTCTTGAAGTTTGATCCCCTAGAGAAGCGAGGTGCGCGAGAACGCTGGGACCCTTTTTCCACCTGGTTCTCCGCTCTTTTGGCCCTCATGTCGCTCCGTCGTCAGACTAAACTCGCCCCCACTTCCTCACCACCTCGGTTGTATCTAGACCCACAGT